CTGTTGTAAATAAAGCAGCAATAGACATGGGGGTGCAGATGTCTTTTTGAATCAGTGTTTTTATGTAAAAGACTTAAATTTTTAAGTTGAACTAAATACTTATGATTTATTGGATATTAAATTATTCAATATTGGCATTTTCTTTACATAAGTAATAGGAAAATCTCTAAATTTGCAATTTTAATGTGCTGGTTTTCAATACTTATAAATAATAAATAAACCCTTTGATTGTTTAGCAGGTAACATCTAAAGGAACTGGTTTAAATCCCAATGCCAAAGTATGGCAGGAAATTCCTTCAGGAAATGCCGATGCCTCGCCAGTAACTCATGGAACTGAGAGCTCTTGGCATGAAACTGCAGCCACATCGGGCTCTCATCTTGAGGGTAAGTCCTAAATAATTTCGTCAGGACAAATAACATTTTGATTAAATACATTGCCAAGCCAGTTTTAGAACTTTTGGGTACATTTGATTAAATATATTTATAAATGTTTAACTTTTGTTTAGTATATAACTGTTATTTATATCCAGTGTAAGTGAGCTGTTACCAATTTCAAATAGCCCTATCTTTGGGTCCATTCATTTAACTCAATTATGTTTGGGTATTTGTAACTTAGTTTTGATTTGCCATCATTGGCAAATGTGTTATTTATTCACTGACCTTTGGCAAATGAATTGACTTCTCCATATTTTTCCTCCAACTGTAATTATAAATAATAATAACTGTAATATTTTGACATAGGATTTTTCACAGAATTAAATACAGGGAGCATTTGGATTAGGTAGTGGTACAAAAGTTTAAGTTGTTAATCATTTTAGCTTATCCATAATAGTCCAGTTTTTCACCCTTGAGAAGATAGCTCTTAAAACCATGTGTACATTTTCCCAACTGGTACATTCCTTGAAAACCATGTTAAATAAGACATAGTACCCAGAGTACCTAGAGATAGGATTTAAAGAATACCTATTTAATTTCAGTATGTTTTCTTAATACAGGTAATACAGAGCTTTCAGAAGATATGTGTAAGGAATATGAAGTAATGTATTCGTCTTGTGAAACTACAAGAAATTCTTCAGGCATTGAAGAATCGACGGATGGATTGATTTTAGGGCCAGAAGATCTGAATTACCAAATATATGATGTTTCTGGTAAACTTTTGATTTTATTGATAGTTTAAAAAAAACTAGTTAATTCACTAGTTTTTTTCCTTTTCAGTGTTCCGATAAAGCTGTGCCATTGATCAATCTATATGTTCTAATTTGAAAAGAAGCTTGTATTAATGAATTGTTATGATAGTTATAAATAACAATCATTTTAAATGGCCAAACATGACAATCATAATTTAAAAGGGGTGTTGTCTTTAGAGATTATATTGGTGAAGATTTGAAATTAAGGATAAAAGAGAAAATAATAGTCAAAATAGTGAGAATATACCTACATTTTATCTTTTTAGACAGTCTAAAATTCACTTTATTAGATGGGATCAATACAGGTGCTATTAATGTTCTTGTCATTTTTGGCACTATGAAATGCATTTATAAACATGAACTTACAGGTGTTAATTTTGAGAAAAGGACATACTAAAACCATGGCCCTTACCATTTAATTGGCATGAATTAATAGTTGTTTCCATTAAAAGTGGCCCTTAGGCCCTGACTGTCTAAGTTCATTTTTCTAACTTTTCAATGTTCTCATTTGGGAAATAAGTGTAATAGGGAGTAGACCTTTTTTTGAAGCTTAAGTTCTTTGACTTCAGTTAATGTATACAAACCTTTGTTTTCAGTTTCCTTACACATTATGAATATTTAGTTAGATTTCTAAAACCTGGCAGCTTTTAAGTTGATTTTTGAAGTGGAGTGGGGTGGTATTTTCATATAATTTAAGTATTAAGTTCTACTCCTTCTATGGTTATACCTAACCACTGGGTATTTTGACAAAATTGGTTTAAGTGATGTGCTACAACCTGTTACTTTAACAAGTTACTATAATGACATTGAAAAGTTAAAAGAAGATACTGTTTACATAGCATTTGGGTGGATAAATTTTGTCATAGAAGGATTGGCATAGACACAGAGAACACATCTTAAATTCATTTTTAATTATTTAATATAGTTTTGTATCTTCAGTAGTAGTAAGACATGGTAGTGGTAAACTCACATGCCCACACTTTATCTCTTTTGTTTTCTACCATCAGGAGAAAGCAATTCAGCAATTTCTACAGAAGACCTAAAAGAATGTCTAAAGAAACAATTAGAATTCTGTTTTTCAAGGTACATTATCCTATTTTATTGATAGCTTCTCTCTCTCTCTCTCTTTTTAATTGTTTGGTTAGTAGATATAAAGTCCCCATAAAAAAGAGGAGAGTGGTGATTTGAGTCCCTTTTAGTGATGTACTTTGGTATAGCATCCTTAAGTAAATGCCTTAATTAGCTTTTAAGATTTAGTTTTCAATTAGATGAGCAAAGGGATTGCTTCTCAGACAATGAAATTTCTATGCGTAGTTTTCCTATGAAAATATACAGGTTTAGGGTTATTAAAAAGGTGATTATTTATATTTTTAGTAGTTGGGTCTTTGGGTCAGCTCCCTAGCTGGGGATCAAAGTTGTGCTGCAGTGGCTGCGGACAGCTTCTTAGAGCTGTGCTTTAACACATTGTGCCAACAGAGGGCCCACAATTCATTTTTTAATATGTTTATAATAGTTACTTTTTAATTTTTGTCTGCTATACCGTGTGTACGCTTATATGGTTGAGATTTTCCTCTTCACTCTCTGTCATAATTTCCTTTTGCACCTTAAAAGTTTTGATGATATGTTGGACATTACATGTGAAAGAAGTATAGTAGTTATAAGTGACATAATTTTTCACTTGACAAAATTACTTCTGTTTGGCAGAAGCAGATTAATTGCTTAATCCAGTCAGGAATTGAGCTATGTCATGTTGCTAAGCAACACACCTTTTATTTATCTGTTTTCCTTAGGCATGACCCTCTCAGGCTTTTGATTCAGGAGTTGGCATTTTTCTGCTACCTCAGTCTTGAGACACCTAATTCTGTTCTTAAAAAGTTAGAAATTAGTTATTCAACCACGTGTAGCTTCAAAATCTAGTAAATAACTTTTGGGGGAGATGATACAGATCTGTGTTTGATGGTAAAGTTAACTTTCCATTGGGACTTTAATCCCAAAACCTCAGAGATTTTACTCTACCTTTTCAACTGTCTTTTAGTCTCAAGTCTTCCTCCTTAGAGCTCTGAAAACCTCCTATGCAGAAAATATGCTATGTGCTAGGGAGTTGTTTCTACTTCACAATGATGGTTCTATGCAGCTGCCTAAACCTCTGCTGATTTCCCCTTTGGCAGAGCTGCGGATACCTTCAGGAAAGAAGGATCATCTTTCTGGAATTTTATTTTGTCCTTGTAGCTTCCATAGCTCTCCTTTATCTTCAGAAACATTTTAGGTACAGAGGGAACTCTGTTTCACAATCATCCTCAGATCTGTAATAACATTTTTAAGTCAGCTGGGCAGTTGATATTTGTACCTCAGCCAAAATGCCACTAATACATCTTACTAACTAGTCATGAACTGTCCAGTTCTAGATATTGTATCCATTACTTGCTTCTGAAAGGTATAGATTCTTTCAGGATTTGACACACACCTTTGTAAGATTAACCCTGCTGAAAGTCATAGTTGACTTCACAGTTGTACAAAGGCTATGCTTTACAGTTGTCTTCAAGTTCTTAGGTCATATCTGTTGATTAAGGTAATGTAACTATGGTCCTCATTTTTTGTTAAAGCCAGCTTAATCTTTGCTGTTATTTTTATTTTTTTGCCGCCCCCCCCCCCAATAACCACCACCTTTTGACATTTATAACCATAAAAAATACTTAATATTCTTTTTGGGAATAAGGTAAAGACCTCTTTGCTAGACAGTAAGGCTTTGCAACACATATTTGAACAATAATAATCCTTTACCTGTACCTCCCTATTGGCATAAGGATTTAGGTCTTAGCACTATAAAGCTATCCGCAGCCACTGCAGCACAAATTAAATCCCCAGCCAGGGATCTGACCCACATGGTGCAGCATGTTTCTCATGTTTCTCCTGCTGCTTCCCTCAGCAGTGTGTTTTGGGTCAAACTGCCTGTCCTGCTCCCCACTCTCTCTCTGTGAATCATCTCATGGCCCCACCATACCTCTGGCCTGTACCCCAGTTCTTATATGCATAAATAAGTCTTTTTAATCTTTCACAAATTCTGGGTGGGGGAGGCAAAACAAATGTAGTAGGTCAGCAACTTAGATTTATGTTGGGCAGTAAATACTACAGAAGCAAATAGAACAGTGGTGGCAGCAAGGGAAGGGAAGGCAGCAATGCCTTTAGGGTTCAGTTTGAGATGGGGTGGTCATTACTAAGGAGACTTGTACCCGTCGACTTCTAATCGTTTTTGACCAGCTTGCTTCAAATATGTATATTCTAACTTCAGTGATAAAATGTTTATAACATAGAAGTATATTTATAGTATTTTTATTTTAAAATTCTATATAAATCCTTTCTGTGATTTCATAAAATCCCATTGTTCAAAGCTGTTGGGCCAGATATGTTTGCAGATGCAGAAACTTACCTGAAATTGTTGAAGGCTTTTGTATACTGTATAATACATATTTTCACAGTTTACTGTGTTATTTATGATCACATACTCTTCCTAGACTTAGTGACAGAGTGAACATCACCTCTTTTTTTGGTGCTTTTAAATTTTTGGTTTTATAGGACTGTTGCTTTTGTTTATTCCTTTTAGAGAAAATCTGTCAAAGGATCTTTATTTGATATCTCAAATGGACAGTGATCAGTTCATCCCAATTTGGACAGTTGCCAACATGGAAGAAATAAAAAAACTGACCACAGACCCGGATCTAATTCTTGAAGTGTTAAGATGTATGTAGCTTTCTTTTATTAATTAAAACATTACGTAAAAATTTTAAATTTAATTAAAAAGAAATATCACAAAGGGGTTTTTTTTTACTCCCTATGCTTTGCCATTCTGTTCTGATGTATTTTTACTGACTGGCATATAGTTTCTATATCAGTTTTATACTTTTGATTGTTAACCTTAGTAGCTACCTTTCAAGTGTAAGTAACGAAATCACAGTTTTCTGATTAATAGAAAGTATGTGTGTCATTATCACACCTTCTAAAGCTATTTATTTCAATTTTTAGTACCCAAGTGAGAAGTATCTTTACATCACTGCCCAAAAACACACACCACTTCCCACATATAACTAAAATGTCACTTGTGCAGATTAATACTAAATGCAATGAATTCATTTTCTTTAGTCAAGAAGTTGTGAAGTAAGAGTGTGACAAATGTGCTCTGAAGTTTGCTTAAAGAAATTATATCTTAAATTCTTAGCTTTTAAGAATTTTTGAATTTCAGTGGTGTTTCATATTATCAATATTTCTTAGTAATCTTTTCTTGGTGGGTTTTATTAACTTCTTGACCACATAAATGCAAATCTTTGTTTTTATATGAAATGCATTTCTGAAAATGTTTAAAAGTATAGCAAGTCCAATAATAGAATTTACTGGAGCAGAGGATTTCTGTTCTCAAAAGCCAAAAACATTTATGAAATCTCCGATCAGTTTGTGCAGCAATAGTATTTCTTGAAAGGAGAACCCAGTCACCGCCAAGAGTCAGGCAAAATGCCCGCTTCTTAACCTTCTCCCTTAAATGCTGCTTTTATTCTCTTTACATGTTCAAGGAGATGTGACATATTATCTCTCTATAAACAGAATAGAAATAGTTTTGGCTAAATGGTTCTAGCTTTATTCAGCTTTTCCATGAAATTCAGCATCTAAAATGTGGCTTATAGGTTTTTCTAGTATGTAAGAATTTTAAGTATGTTAAAGTCAATGAGAGATTATAACCCTTGTATAATACTTTAATTTTAAGATTTTTCATCCACATATCAAAGCTCATTACATTCCTCCGCATGCAAGTACAGTGTTTTTTGTTATATCTTGAAATAAAGAATTTGATAATTTTGTGAAGGGAAGTTGCCATAGAAAATAATGTGTTATATGCTCCCTACAGACTACTTTTCAATCCTGAAACAGTGCCAAGTCACAAAATAGGTACTCTGAATATTTGTTTAAATATATTTGACAATGTTCTTTGTATATTTATCTTGTCATATTTTATTGTAATTGTAGTCTTTGATTCCACAACTTAATTTCTATTAATTGATTTAGCTGGAAATGAATAGTTTTTTCAATGGCATTATTAACATTTTTGGCATGAAACCCTTCTTATAATTTCAGCCTCACCAATGGTGCAAGTTGATGAGAAGGGTGAGAAAGTGAGACCAAGTCATAAACGTTGTATTGTAATTCTTAGAGAGATTCCTGAAACAACACCAATAGAGGTAAATTGTTAAGTTTTTTAAAAAGATTTATTTATTATTCATACATAACTGGGATACAGGCCAGGGGTGAGAGGATTCACTAGGGATATAGTAGGTAACAGAACAGGCAGATTGACTGAAATACACTGCTAAGGGGAGCAGCGGGCAGGACAGGAGAGGTCTGCCATGCTGTGTGGGTCAGCTCCCTAGCCTGGGGTTGAACCTGTGCTGTGGATAGCTTCATAGTGCTGTGCTTTAACCTGTTTTGCCACTAGGGAGGGCCTTGTTAAGCATAATTAAAGCTAAATGTTCTTTAGCTTTTTAAGTTGGAGGAAGTAAACAACAAAGTATAAGTTACCATAGCAATTACTATGAATAGTATGAGTATTAGTTTGTAGATTCTGAAATACTAGACAAATGGGTAGAACAAAATACAATTCCTTGTTCTTACAAGATTAGATTGAAAATTGAGTGATAATACTATTCAATTTATTGATCTCTCTAAATGGCAATTAAAGTATAAGAAGGTTCGGAATTTGAGGATTCAGTTGGAAGAATGAACTTAGGAAAGAAAAGAGGAAAATGAATTAATAAGGATTAATAATGGAAGACTAACCCTACTGGTTAGTAAAATATTAAACAAAATGGCAGTCATAAGATGGTATAGAACAAGCACAAGAATTAATAATCCTCAAATTATGCAATGTAATCCAGAAATAGAGATTTTTGGTAATTATTCATTAAAATATTTAATAACTAAGTTCTACCGAGAATTGTTACTTAAAATGAAAGGTTTTATAGATGAAGTAACTGAGCTTAGAAAAGTTAAGTAACTTTATCAGAAGGCCTGTTCAATGACAGGATCTGAATTCTAAAGGCCCTGTTTGTTAAGGATTACACCAAAGTGTTGCACTTAAGTTGCCATGTTAAAGCTTATTAATTAGAAATCAAGGGAGGATTAATAGTAACATTTAATGATTAATTAGCCATTTTTAAGAAAAGAGCATTTAAATCCTTGCCACCTAGAAAATTTATAAGACCTGAGTCACTGAATATTAAATTTCTAGAGTGAAGATTCTATAAGTTTAGAAACTGTGAGGAAATTTGAAAATAAACTGTCATTAGACCTTTGATTTAAAGTTATGTACTGTATTTCAAAATACAAATGAAGTAGAAGGTTACAGAATGGGTAGAGTATTTGCAACATAAAGTTAATATGTATAGTATATGAACCTGAACAGGAGAGCCATTCTGTCTGGGTTTTAGTTCTTGCTCTTTTTATTTGCTGCTTATGGCCTTGAATAAATTATTTCACCTCTTGCTTCAGTTTTCTCATTTGTTAGTTGGGATAACAATAAGTAACTAAGACTAATGAAAATTAAGTGACTTAGTATATAAGGAAATTAGAGGAGTACCTGGCATGTAACACTCTAAGCTTAGCAATTATTAACATTTTAAAAGTTATTGTAGCACATATTATGAATATATAGCTTATCCATATGAAAAATAGTAATTAAAAGGAATAAGGCAGCAGTACATACTGTTCATTGAAAAAAAGTATAGGAAGTGCAGTTGACTAAAATAGCCAGAGAGTGTTCTCCTACACAGTAATCACAGAAATTAGAATGAGGGGTTACTTTTTTTTTTAAAGATTTATACAAGAGCTGGGGTGTAGGCGATCAAGGGGGTAGGGGAGGGGAGTGGATTCCCGAGATGCAGAGTGGGGAGCAGAACAGGCTGATTGACTAAAATACACTGCTTAGGCAATCATTGGGTGAGACAGTAGAGGTCTTCTGTGCCATGTGGGTCAGCTCCCTGATTGGGGATTGTGCTGAGATTTAACCCCTTGTGCCACTAGGGAGGCCCCTGAGGGGTTACTTTCAATGTTCCTGTCAGTTGGAATAAATTTCTAATTATTTTAGAACTCACACTGTGTGTGTGTTGTATATTAATGTATATATTGATCTTATATTACAATATTCTGCAACCTTCTATTTAATTTATATTTTGACATAGAGTACATAATTTTAAATCAAAGGGCTAATGACAGTTTTTGGATTTCTTTCATAGTTTCTTAAATTTAGGATACTCATTCTGGAAGTCTAATACTTAATGACTCAGGTCATAAAATTTCTTAGGTGACAAGGCTCTAAAAGTTCCTATACTTGGGAAAGTGAGGAGTCTATGGACATACCTGTTCCTGTAGAATGGCAAATGCTAAAAATAAAGCATTTTGTTAAAGTTCAAGTAAATTAAATGCATTTGAAAATATTAGAAATATTTGGAGAATATGAGTGGATTTTTGAAGGTGTAGAAATAAACAAGTAGCACCTTAATTGCTCCATAGTAGTTCTTACTAAATGAAATTCTGCACTTGAATAAAAATTTTATTAACTGGACTTGTGATATCTTGTCACTTTCACAAATGACAGAAAATTCAGCTGGTTGCCCACTTATTTCAAGCAGCATTTGACCAAAGACATTTCATAGCAAGTAGAAACTCTGTTTCTCTCTTTTAATTACATATATTTAAAAATTGAGGGGGTTAGATCTCACTGTTGTCATGTTGACTGTTCTGTTAGGTTAATGGTTGTCCTTTTATAAAACTGATACCATTTGATATTTGGAAGGATAGTGTTTTGGGGGAACTATTGGTTACTATCCTTGAACTTAAATAGATGTTAGACAAAATGGATTTTGAAGGTATGAAAATCAGAGTTTGAGTACTACTTTGTGACCTTTTGGGTAGGTCAAATACTCTGAACCTCCTCAACTATAAAATAAACATGGTAAAATATTCAGTGCATGACTATTTTCAGGAGTAAATCCCAATGCCTTGGTTATTGTTTTTTGTTTATAAATGAATTTCAAGCTGTTTAATATTATACAGTTCTGAGTTTGATTATCTTTTTCTAAATCTGTATATTTGTTTAAAAATTTAGTTTTTGGTTTTATCAGTTATGGAAAAAGAGACGTAGTCTACACATAGTTTGTCTATGACTAAACATCTGGTTTGGGTGAAACTACTTAGCACCTAGAAAATGGAGGACAAGGACTCCCTGATTGGTTAGGGGTTAAGCTCTATCAACACTACAACCTGACTTCGACACCCTTCCCTCATCCCCCATATGCGTTGCAGCAGGCCTCTCCAGTCTTGCTTACTGCTTCCTTCAAACAGTGTATTTCAGTTAGTCATCTGTCCTGCTTCCCCCTCTGTCTCTGTTGAATCCTCTCACCCTGCACCTCTGGCCTATGCCCTAGTTCTTCTATGCAAAATTATAAATCTTTAAAAAAAAGAAGAAAAGTAAATGAACATACTTTGGAGTGGGTAATCACAGGACTAGAGAGATTTTACTATAAGGAAATTTTACATTTCCACTAGGCATGAAATGCTTCCGTCTTACTGATTATAAAATAAGATTGTATCATGCAGAGATAATTTACACATTAACAATTCATGTTTTTCCTTTTTTATTTTTATATTTTTTACATCATTCATTCTCCTTTCAGATATAATCCCCATAAAGTTACTACCACCAAGCCACCCCTGAACTGTCCCAATAGTCTCTTGTGCTTTTCCCTCCCATGGTTTTAGTTCTCTTTCCCTAGCTGAAATGTCTCCAATTTATAGTTTGCCTGCAATTTTTGTTTCCCCTCCAATCCCTTGTTTATTTTCCCTATGATCCTTCTATAAATGAAACTATCCTGTGTTTTTCTCTTTTCTAATGACAGTTCATTGAACATAATCCCTGCCAGCCAATCCATGTTGCTGCATGTGGCATGAGTTTATCTTTTTTTTTCTTTTAAATTTATTTATTGATGCATACAGAACTGGGGTACAGGCCAGAGGAGAGTAGTGGGTGAGAAGATTCACCAGAAACAGAGTGGGGAGCAGAACAGACAGATGGACGAAGTACACACTGCTGTGGAGGGGAGCAGTGGGCGTGGCAGGAGGGGTCTGCTGCGCCATTTGGGTCAGCTCCCTGGCTGGGGTGGGGGGGTTTCTGGGGCGGTGTTTGAACTCGTGCTGCAATGGCTTCGGAGACCTTCATAATTCGGTGCATTAACACGTTGTGCCACCAGGGAGAGCCCGAGTTTATCCTTTTTGATTGCTGAGTAGTATTCAATTGTATAAGTGCATGTTTCTCTTTTAGAATATAATCTGTTCTCAATGGAAAAATGGGGAGAGAGCATAATTAGTTAACAAGTAAAAAAATAGAAGGTACCAAAATATATACAAAGAGGAAAAAAGTTTCCATTTTTTTAATGCACTTCTTAAGCATAAACTAAAGTTTTTGTTTTTTTTTTCAGGAAGTAAAAGCTTTGTTCAAAAATGAAAACTGTCCCAAGGTGATAAGTTGTGAGTTTGCACACAATAGTAACTGGTATATCACTTTCCAAACAGATACAGATGCACAACAGGTGAGAAGAAAATTTTTCTTGTGCTTCAAGTATTAATGGTAAAAGAGTAGCGGTATAATTTAATTGAGAAAATATGTGCTCACACTAATAACTATAGACTGTTTATAGCATCTTGTTCACTTTTTTGTATTGCTTATTACTGGATTTCCTTTTTGATAATCTTCCTAAAGCTTTTTTTCTTTTATTATCACTTATTTCTCTTAAAGACATGTAATATTCTTTTGGAACAAAAATTAACTAATAGGAACGTTTTTAACCACTGATTGTTATTAAATCTTAGAAGTCTGAATCATTTAAATTGCTATGTTGTAATATTCGACGTCTTTTATGAATTTTTTGTATTTTATCTACAATGATGGTAGATCATGGTAGCTAATTTACAATAAATGGGAACTATAGTTGAGATATTAAATTTCACTTTTCACTCTCATCTGCATAATGTAATCACACTCATACTTTGTTTAAAATAGCTGTAATGCTAAAATCTTTTAATAGAATGAAGATGTCTTTAATGAATTTTTGATTGCTAATGAAATTTCCTTTCTGCTTTGTGAATAGGCTTTTAAATACTTAAGAGAAGAAGTTAAAACATTTCAGGGCAAGCCAATCATGGTAAGAAACATTTGTTACAGAGACATCAGCATGAAAATTTTTTTTTTGTTTACTTCAGAATTTTAAAAACACAGTATTTTATAAAACAATGATTTTGAAGAAAGTTCTGGTTCATAACATGTGCTACTTTAAAAAAATTACTGCTAAAGAATTAAAATATTTTTTATTACACTAGTTCTTTCCAAAGGCAGTACTTCGAATGGCTTGAAATTCTAGATAGGTTAATTGACAGAATGTAAGAGAAGTTCTTACCTCAGTGTAAGGAGTGTGAACAAAATTTTTTTAATTTATTTATGCATACAGAATGGGGTATGGGCCAGAGGTGTGGGGGGTGAGAGGATTCACCGGAGATACAGTGGAGAGCAGAACAGGCAGATTGACGAAGTACACTGCTGAGGGGAGCAGCAACAGGTGGGTGAGGAGAGGTCTGCCACGCCATGTGGGTCACCCCCCTGCTGGGGATCAAACTTGTGCTGTAGCGGCTGCAATAGCTTCATAGTGCTGTGCTGTAACCTGTTGCGCCACCAGGGATGGCCCTGGGAATAATTATTTGGTAACAAAGTTGGAAAACATTTTTAGTTCCTTCAGCTTGATCTTAATTAACTACATCAACATTTTAACATTTAGACACTAGAGAGCCTGGAAATTGTTGCTGACTCTTGAGCACTATTTTTATATGTCTGATCCATTCTTAGGTAACCACAAAGTCTGCCTTTATAATGCCTAATCATTAGCGCCATTTTTAGTAGAGGTACCCTTTTTTTTTTTTTTTTTAACTCTTAGGCCTTCAACTTTCCCCTTACACTGCTTGCTGCTCATTGCTATGAGAGCTACCATATAAAATATAATCCAAAGCATGCACTTACTTTGACATGCTCGTCATTCCTTATGTAATATAATAATAATTTATAAGTGAAAATTACTTGTGCTGGGCTTACTGTGTATCTGTTCTAAGTACTTTGTATATATTAACTAAAAGTTCATCCATGTAGCATGTTATAGAACTTAGTGTTCAAGTATGATTAATATTGTGTGTGTATGTGATAGACACACATTTTGCTCCCATGTTTTAGCTGTTATAAATAATGTTGCTGTGAACATTAGGGTACAGATATGTTTTCAGGATCCTATTTTCATTATGATAAAGTAGAATTTGAATAATTTTTAAAAACATCTTCATGATACTCAGTTGTGGAATGTATAATATAGTGTATTGACTTTTCACTGACTGTGGGGTTGCTTCCTGGGAGACAGTGTGTATGTATCAGTTTTCCCCCCTTCCTGTTATAGTTAGTGTCAGTAAATAGTCATGTGCATCCTTGTTTTGGTCATTGTATATTTGGGAAAGATTCCTAGAAGTGGAATCAATATGAGAATACAATAAATGCAAGTGCTTTTGGGAAATATTGCTGTGTTTCCCTTTCTAAGGGTTGTGCTAGTTTACATGTCATCATCAGTGTCTGGTCTGATCTGCCAGATAAGAATATCTTATCTTTTTTTTTTTTTTTTTACTTATGCCATTCTATAAGTGAGATGTTAATTCAGTTTTAATTGCATTTCTCTTAGATCTTTTCACATGATTAAGAGCTTTTTTACCCCCCGTAGCTCTGTTGTTGTTTCTAACACTTTTCCATTCCAGATTGTTGAGCTTTTTTTAAAATCTCTTTTTAGAATATGTATATTGGGAATACTAAGCTCCCTTGTCTGCTAAGTTGCAGTTAGTTTTGCTATTCTCATTTTTGTGCTTTTTCTTATTTATTGTGTTTTTTTGTCATGCGATTTTTTTTCACATTTTTCAAAGTTATCAGTTATTTTATTGTTATTTTTAAAACATAATGTCCACTTTATATTTTTCCCAGAGGACAGGTTTTCAGACCCTAAGGACTTAATTTTACATAGGTTTCGCAGAGGTGAAGGCAGCCCCTTTCAGGTATAAGTTGGAGTTGAGAGTGTCCCTGTCCTTCCAGATTTCAGAGAACTAATCCTGACTGTGGACAGCTCCACAGTGTACTGTATTTTCACAGCTTGGGGAGTATATGTTGAAGGTACTTGTTTTGTACACATCTGTCCTCCCCATGTGTTTCATATGATGAATATCTTAATGGCCCTGTCCTTGGGACCATTTGTCCAGGAGTAGAATTGGTACAGCAAGTTGGCTGCACATGGCCATTGCCTTTTTTGGCATGATCTTTGTTCTTCTATTCTTGGTTATCTTGAAAGTGAACACCCCTCAATTTATTTGCTCTACAGAAGACAACTTATTCGTGTAAAATATTTGAAATGTGTTACATTTGCGAAAATATACTCTTAGTTCTTTGTCATTATAATGTGTTCCTCTTGCTTCTAGGCAAGGATAAAAGCCATCAATACATTTTTTGCTAAGAATGGTTATCGTTTAATGGATTCTAGTTTATATAGTCAACCCATTCAAACTCAAGCACAGTATGCTTCGCCAGTCTTTATGCAGCCCATGTATACTCCTCACCAACAGTACTCTGTGTATAGTATTGTGCCTCAGGCATGGTCTCCAAATCCTGCACCTTACTTTGAAACACCACTGGTAAGTAAGAGTCTCCCACATAATAAAATTTTTCACTCAATTTGAAATTTGAAGAACTCAGCTTCTTTTTTGTTTGTTTTATTTTGTGTAGCTATTGGTTACTTTCTGACTCTCAGTAATGATAAGGGGTATCTAGTCATCTGTGTCAAGTATATGCATATGGGTAAGAGTTGGGCTATTGGATGTTATAATTTTATTCTTTAGATTTTGCTGGATTACATTTTTAAAGCCTGGAAAAATCTTATGTGATTTAAAATACTTTCAGTTTTATGAAATTTTTTCAGAGAAATTTTTAAGTAATAAATGAACTAACGATTCTTCATTTTGTAACTGGAGTGATACTTGAAGTTGGAAGTATTGTACAGGTGAATTTAAACGGTATTTTTGGTTTTTAAAAGATATGATGTATCATAAGTTTCTTAGACTTTTCACAGTAGGTTTTACCTTTATCATTAATCTTGATTTTGACTTTTAAATTTTTTTCTAGGCTCCCTTTCCCAATGGTAGTTTTGTGAATGGCTTTAATTCACCAGGATCTTATAAAGCAAATGCTGCTGCTGTAAATATGGGTCGACCATTCCCAAAAAATCGGTAAGATAAAACTCAAACTCATAGTTAGAATTTTATTGTAAACAGCTTCCTTTTTTTTTAAGAGATACTGTGTTAAAAGCAGTGCTTTTTTTTTTTTTTTTTTGCAGAATCAATAGAAAGGGCCTTCTACAAAAAGTATATAAATGATTTAATCTAGAATTTGGTTATAAAAATGATTTGGGATTGAGATTGTACCCAATAAAACTGATTTTTTTTTTATATTTGATTTAGCCAAAAAGCCAAGAAGCGGTAAAAGTGATTTTTTTTTAAAGCAGTATTTTTTGTGGTAGCAATGTATGATAAAACCTGGTGTCTGAATGCCATTTAGTATATTAAATAGGTTACATTTTGGAGAAAGTTTTATTCTATTCATGTTTAACTGGTTTGAATAATAATAGTGCTGCCACTGAGTTATTTAGGATTTTTAAGAATTTACTTTTGAAATGATTTATATGAACTATAAAGTACAATAGACATTAGTCAACATTTATTGTATATTTAGTGTATTAAGCTGTTTTTGAAGGACTTTGCATGTTTTCTCACTGTAATTTTCATAATCTTGTTAAGATAGCTACAGTTATTATGTCTACTTAAAGATTTGGAAATGGAAAAATAACAGGGTAAATAAAAACCAGGTCTTTGAGCAAGTAACAAGATTTGAGCCGAGACAGTTCAACGCCAGAATCTACACTTAAATACAATATTTTGTATAAATTATTGAGAACCCTGAAAGCTATTTGCTATCATATAAAAGATTGATGCACATCTTAAGTTATTCTTCATAGAATCTTCAACTGATGACCTTTGTGAGCTTTCTGGTTTCTTGATTTTAATTACTTTTCAGTCATTTTCTCTTGCTGGAGCTCATTTTCATAGTTGATTTTTTTTTTTTTTTGGGCAAGGAGATACTTGGGGTATGTTTCTCCAAGATGACTTCTAGGAACTTGATTCTTGTTTGTCCTGAATTTCCTGTATGTTTAGTCCTGAAACATACCTCCCTGGAGAAAGAAGCCTCATGGCATTAAAAAGTATTTTTCTTAATAGATTTTGGAAGCATTCATATGTATACCCTCTAGTGGTCACAATTTTTGTACTCACTTTAACTGAATTAATTTGATAAAACATTTAAACTTTTTTTTTTTTAAGATTTATTTATTTGTGCATACAGAACTGGGGTACAGGTCAGAGGCTCAGGGATGGTGAGAGGCTTCACCAGACACACAGTGGGGAACAGAACAGGCAGATCGACGAAGTACACTGCTGAGGGGAGCAGCGGATGGGTCAGGAGAGGTCTGCCGCACCTTGTGGTCACCTCCGGGGCAGGCGGGAATCGAACTCATGCAGAAGTGGCTTTAGATTCTCAGTGCTGTGCTTTAACCCGCTGCACCACCAGGGAGGGCCTAAACATCATTTTTAAGTGTCAGAAAAATTTTATTACAGCCACATATTTGTTTTGAAGATTTACTATCTATGTACACAAGAAGTGGGGTGTAGGCCAGTGGTGTGGGGGATGAGAAGATTCACGCGGAGAAGAGTGTGGAGCAGAGCAGGCAGATCTACTGAAATACACTGCTGAGGGATTAGCGGGCGAGACAGGAGAGGTCTGCTGCACCATGTGGGTCAGCTCCCTGGCCAGGGATTGAACTCTTGCTGCAGTGGCTGCCAATAGCTTGGTAGCGTTGTATCTTTAACCCCTGTGCCACCAGGGGAGACCCTTACAGCTACATATTTTTGCTGCTTTTATAGAATTGCAATGAGAGCTCTTCAACATGTAAGAATGAAGGATTTTTTTTTTAACAAATGAAAACATTATCTTTCTTCTTATAGATGACTTGTGGTTTGATAATACAATACAAATAGTAATTAAAGGCAAAATGACATAGCTGGGACTTGCAAGTAAAAGTATGGTGCATCTTCAGATACGCATTGACCCTTAACTCCATTTCCCATTGTTCAAAAAAGATTAATTTCCATAAACACATAGAGACTATAATGTTTAAATTGGAAAGATCAGATTGTTATGTCATTTGAACTCATTTTGCAGATGAGGTAAGGAAAAGCTGGGTGGATATTTTGCTAGGCTTACATGGCTAGGTATTATCAGTAGACCTATTAGAACATTACTATTAACATCTGCTAAAGTTTTTGCTTTAGAATAATTCAGTTAGAGCAAATGAAAGTTTACAATTAAGAGATACAGAACTTTGTAAAAAAAAAAATGTGTCTATTTCATGTTTATTGGAGGGCTAAATTTTGCTCTAAACTCCTAAGTGTTCTGTTAAAAGGTATACAAAAACTAGTTTTTGATTCATAGCTGAAACTACTGGTGTCTGCAAATGCTTGACTTAAAGATACATTAAATGGGCTAATGATCTTCCTTTATGTTCACATGTTTTTGTCTCCTGTGCTTTCTTGATAAATGGGCTGGAACTAGAGCAATAAAGCCCAAAAATGATAGTTAAAGCATCCAGGTTTATGTGGGTATGTATTTTTGATTTTGAAGATACAGAGCAGGTTTAGTATAATTTCACTTGTTACTAAGTTAAACCAACACAAGGGGTTGTTAGTTTGTGGTTATAGAAATAGTACATGAATAATTTATCTTAAAAATGCACAAGAAACTGAACTTTTTGATCACCAGCTCAAATTCATATTTTCTTCATGCTTCTAATAGTGACATCTATTAAGACATTCATTCAAAGTTACCAGTCAAAAAGAAAGTAACTTATAGGGATCCTGCTTGCGGTTTCTTATTTTAATCTTTAACGGCCCAGTGATGATCATTAGCCCTACTTAGAGAGAATAGGACTAACTTTCAGAAGTCTGGGCATTTTTCTGCTTTTCATATTGTGTCTTTCTGTCACTTGCTTTTCCCCTTTCTTTCTAACTTATATTACTGTTTCTTTCATTATTCTTTATTTCTTTTGCCTGGACTGAGATTGTTAAGTCCCTCTCAGTGAAGGGTGAGATTATGAGATCTGAGGGCTATTTTTAAGTAATGAATTATCTTCCAGATGTGTTGAAATACAGTGAGAAAATTCCAGGTGAATTACAGTTTTTGAACAGATGTACCAGTATATATACCTCATGAGGTCATTTTCAGATATGATGAATAATTAAAATATTTTGGAAATTTGTTAGCTGATATTGTTATTAAAATCTGTTTTGCAGCATATGAAACTCAACACAAGTGCTCTGTCATCTGATATTTTTTCTTTTATCTTTAAATTTAGTAATAATCATATTTTATGCTCGATGAGAAAATTAAAATAGCTGGAGATTGTGTTTGAGTGGCTGTTTAATTGCTGGGCTTATAAATTGTTATGAGGTTTTAAATTCTTGTTTGGTGAACTAAGAAATACCAATAAGTATTAATATTACAAATTTGTATTTATGTAAGCTAAAAAATGGAGTATTATAAATTATATTTAGGGGCCACATATAAATCTCATACTCTTGTTTAATCTTCTGTAGTAGAAAGATCCTCAGTTACTTGGGGTCATATTAGATATTTTCACTATCTATTAAATGGCATCCTTTCTCTAACCCTACCCTAGCTTCATCTGCCTACAGATTGTTAAGAGTTGTTATCCAAGATAAAAGCAGCTTTTTTTTTCCATAAGACATGGTTTCTTTGCTGTCAGAGTCAATACTTTTAATTCATTAACTCATACCCATCTTCAAGCTACAATGTATTTCTATTTTCCAAGTTTTTTTTGTCCCACATATGAATCTTTGAACAACTAATTTCATTTGGTGAAATTGGGAATCCTTGATAAGAAGCTATACTTAGAATATATACTACTATTTCTCAGTACTTTTATCTTTGTCACTCCCTAAAAACCTTTTCAGAACTTTCCCACTCTAATTTCTTCCTGTGAAATTTACTATAGACAATTGTGTGTGTATGTATGTAAAAAAATATATATGTGTATATATGCACACATTTTTACATAGATGAATAAGACAGGTTTTGTTTCTCCTACCCTCTGGACCAATTTTTTTTTTTAATAATAGTTCATTTTTACATTATTTTGTGCCTTTTTCCATATCAGTTGTAATCCTGGTGGGCTTCCCATCACCAGATCACTGGTGTGCCAGTGCACTTTCCTCTCCCAACCATTTTTGATCCCATTCTCCGTTCTACCCTCATAAAATGTCTCTGGTATATAGTTGTTCGTCATTATTATTATTTTCTCACCTGGTCCTTTATGCTCCTACTGTAAGTGGAACCATCCAGTATTTTTCCTTTTCTTTCTGGTTTATTTCACTAAGATGATCTTTTCCAGCTCCATCCATGTTGCTGCAAAAGGCATGTGCTTATTTTTTTTTGGTTGCTGAGTAATATTCCATATGTACCACATCTTTTTAATCCAGTCATCTGCTTTTGAGTATTTGGGCTGTTTCCATGTCTTTCCAATTGTAAATAAAGCAGCAGTAAACATAGGGGTGCAGGTGTCTTTTTGAATCAGTGTTTTTGTGTCTTTTGCGTAGATAACTAGGAGTGGAATTGCTGGGTCATACGGAAGCTCTATTTTTAGTTGTTTGAGAAACCTTCAAACAGTTTTCCATAGTAGTTGTACTAGTTTGCATTCCCACCAGCAGTGCAGGAGAGTTCCTTTTTATCCATATCCCACCAACATTTGTTGTTGCTAGTAGTTCTAAGATGTGCCATTCTCACTGGTGTGAGGTGGGTATCTCATTGTGGTATCAATTTGCATTTCCCTTATTATAAGTAATGTTGAACAAATTATTTTTTCATATGCTTGTTGGCCATCTGCATTTCTGTCCATTTTTTGATGGAGTTGTTTATTTTTGTTGAATTTCATCAGTTCTGTGTATATCTTCGTGATCAATCCTTTATCACTAGTTTTGTGTGAGAAACTTTTTCCCAATTAGTCGGATGTCTGTTTGTTTTTTGTAATGTCTCTTTTGCTGTATAGAAGCTCTTAAACTTGATGTAGTCTCATCGGTTTATCCTTTTCTTCACTATTGTTGCATTGGGTGCTGTATCTTCAAAGATGTTACTGAAGTGTATGTCGTGTTGTGTTTTGCCCATCTTTGCTCTCTGGACCAATTTTACGATTTTTGGTGATGTTGCCTTCATTGAAAATGGGTGTTAGAAATTCAGCTTTAATTTTAAAGCCTGGCTGATTTAGGTATGTCTACACTCTAGCTAGTGTTAAAAGAAAGAAGTAATTTTGTCTTGAAAAACTTTGAACTTTACTCCAAACTTCTCCAGACAACTTTATTTAATATGAAAATTCTCTGCCTTTTAAAAATATTAACACATCTGGTATATTAAAGGGATTATATTTTGACAACAGTACATTTTTAAGTGCAGTAAAGAGCAGCTCTTAACTTGGACTATTAAGAGTTTCTACTGTTAAAAAGATTTTTCTGTCTTTTTTATCTTTTCTTACGTATGGTCTTCTATTTCTTACAGTGTGAAGCCTCATTTTAGGTCATCCAATGGTTCAGAACACTCAACTGAGGGCTCTGTGTCATTGGGGGATGGACCATTAACCAGATCTGGTTCAAGGAACTTTCCAACTGAACGACATAACTCCACAGTAACAGGGCATCAGGAACAAAATTACCTTCCAAAAGAGACCCCAACTTTGCAAATGGAGCAGAATGGGGACTATGGTAGGGGCAGGTAAGGAAATATGGAAATAAATATGAAAAATTCATGGATCTTAATGTGTGTAAATTGAACATGATTTTGGTTTTTAATGGTGTATAATTTTGCTAAATGACAACCCAGTACTTAGTAGTGTTGGTTGTAGTAGGTGAAGTTTTTGGTAGATTCTTAAGAAGAATATATATGTATCTTTTAATAATAATATTTAAAATTATTTAAAGTAGATATCTACCCATCCTTGTTAGAGTGAGTATATTTAAAGAAACTTACAAGTTGTCTTTTGAACATCCCCTCTTTGTTTGCATTGTTAAAGGAGAACTCTCTTCAGAGGTCGGAGACGGCGAGAAGACGACAGGATCCCAGTATGTATATTTTTTTGCCCTTAGTTATTTTTGTTCAAGTTGTTTCTCCTTATATGGTTTACTGTGGCTTACTCATGGTCTATCTTTCCAGGTTTTTGTTTTATTGATCATATTTGTTGAACAAAGAACATTTGCTTGACCACCACTACCCTTAAGTACACACATAATTCGAAATTTGACTTGTGTTTGTTTACCTTAAATATAAATTGAAGACTTAAAATATTCATGTTTTAAAAACCAAAAATAATGAAAAACTTAACTATTAACAGACATTTAGGTTTTGTCTTTTGGAAATGGTGCTGTTAAAATATTATGGTAACCTCATATAACCATCATTTGTATAATGGCTGTTCAATGATACCTGAAGGACAGTCCCTGGAGGTTAATTTTATGGGTTTTATAATTCAATAAGTTGTGTCAACTAACTTTCTATAGATAGGGTTTACTCTGACAGTGAACCAAAAAACTCCTGATTATCTGTAGCTTTAAGGGATTATGACTTTCGCCAATTTGAAAAAACAGCTCTAGATTTTCCAAAAACAATTTACACTTCTTGTTATGCTCTTACTTGAATCTGAACTTACATAGCAAATTACTCATATTTTTATTGTCTGTGGTAAAAGTTTACCATCTTTTAATTGGGGACAAAAGGACTTGAGGAACAAAAATGATGTATGGGACAACATGGTGATTTCAAGAAAACCTAGAAATTATAAATATATCATAAATGAGTACTACCATGTTTATTTTACATGTTTAAGTCATGAATCCATAAATAATAAGTAATATAGTAAATATTATGTGCTGAAAGGTTTATGTAGTATATATATATTTAAAGATTTGTTTCTTCATATGGAACTTCATATACAAGCCAGATGTGCAAGTGTGGTAAGAGGTTTCACCAGAGACAGAGTGGGGAGCAGAACAGGCAGATTGACACAGATAACTACTGGGGTTTGCATCGGGCAGGTCAGGAGAGGTCTGCTGGGCCATGTGGATCACCTCCGGGGCTGGGGATTGAACTAGCACTGAAGCTGCAGCCAGCTTGCAGTGCTGCGTCCTAACCCGTTGTGCCACCAGTGAGGACCGGGTTTATATTTTTAAAGAAGAAAATATATTGCATTATAACACAAAGAATAGTCATTGGGGCAAATTGTATACTTGGAAATCTTACTCTTTCATGTTTAGCTTCCTATATGGAATCGCCTTGAGACTCTCGGTAACAACTTTTAAGATTACATTTCAGTAGTCCACATGAATTGTCAGATGATCCTGATTAAATGGGAGAAGGAAAGATTAGGCTTAACACCTATTTAATATGTTGAAAGTATCCAGATTGAGGGCTGCAAAAGAGGGTGAAGCATAAGGCGATAGGCCTACCTTTTAGTCGGAAGGGCAGGGTAGAGGTACTCTTATGCAGAAGTTAGCCTCAGCTAGAGGTGAAACTGAAGGTTTTTTCAGCTTACATGTAGTAATTGAGGCCTTAATTGTAGATGAGGCCCTTCTTGGTGGCACAGTGGGTTAAAGCACAGCACTATGAAGCAGGCGAGTTGGATCCATAGGCGGGAGTTGTGAACCTTATAGTGTGGCAGACCTCTCCTGATGAGCCCACTGCTCCCCTCAGCAGTGTACTTGGTCATTCTGCCTGTTCTGCTCCCCACTCTGACAGTGGGGAATCTTCTCACAAACCTGTACCCCAGTTCCGTATCTTTTTTAAAAAATTGTGGTTGACCTATCTAAGATTGGTGAAGTCAGGGGCAAGAGACTGTCAGATTTTGTATTGCAGAAGGCATTGGTGATTTGTCAAAGCAGTTTTAGTGGAATGAAGAGTAAGGTCAGGAGCTAATACAAATGACACTTGTCACAATATATAGTAGGGTGGTGGTGGAGGGGGTGAATGAGATGTTTAAGGAAGTATGTTCTATCAAGATAATATGAAAGGGGAGAAGATGATAAATTTAGATAAGATAGGGGTTTTCTTATTACTATTATTGAAGGGGGCTTTGCAGATTTCGAAAGCAAAGGATGGTGACTATTGCTTAAAGGAGTATATTAAGTTTGTGAAAGAAACAGAAAAGATAGCTAACTAAAGATAAGTAGGATTGACGGCTCTACTAAATCCAGAGTGAGGCCTAGAATCTTCCCCTCGTCCCAGCCTTTGTATTTATTGGAGTGGGTAGTACTGAAGCAGCGCTTTATGTCATGCTTCAGGCATTGTTTGCTCAAACCAGTTGGGATAGAAAGAATAACACAGAACCCTGAAACAAACTCAGTGCCAGTGATCATCAGCACAAGTTCTACTTAGATTGAATGTAGATCGCACCAACCTAAAGAAAGTAGGTCCGGGGCACCCCTGATGGCGCAAGGCACTGTGAAGCTGTCGGCAGCCACTTTAGCATGAGTTCAATCCCCAGCCAGAGAGGTGACCCACATGCTGCAGAAGACCTCACCTGTCTCACCTACTGCACCCCTTAGGAGTGTGTTTCAGTCAGTTCACCTATTCTGTTCCCTACTCTATCTCTGGTGAGTCCTCTCACTCATCACCCCCCCCCACACACACACACACACCTGACCTACACTCCAGCTCTTGTATGCATCAATAAATTTAAAAGTTTTAAAAAAGAAAAAGAAAAGCAGAGAATTTAGAAAGGGGAACAAATTCTTTTCATTAGGGTTTAGACTTGTTTCTTCCTTTATTCCTTTCTCCTTCCTTTCCTGCTTTGATGCCAGTATGCTACAGGATTAGGTAATGATGCAGATATGTGAATCTGTTTTACAATTTGTATCTTTTAGAGACCCCATCTATCAACAGCTGAAGCAAAAGCTCCAACACCAAAGTTTGACTTACTAGCCTCAAATTTTCCTCCCTTACCTGGAAGTTCATCAAAAGCACCAGGTGAACTTGTTTTGGAGAGCAGGATGTCTGATGTTGTTAAAGGTGTCTTCAAAGAAAAGGTAAAATGAATTATCCAATATTTTGAATTATGGGACAACATTTAGCCTGTTTTCAGGATTATTATTTAAATTTTTATTTGTACCTAATGTGTATTTATATCATAGGTTTTATTTGTGGGGTTTTCAGCATGCTTATAAAAAGTATCATAAAAATATTTATGATAAAACTATACAGGGTCAACAAAATGTTTCTTCATTTTTGTGGGTCTTTGTATCAGTCATCTCAGCTTGAGAATGTGTACTGAATGTAAAATGTCATTTCTACTTATTCCTAGAATTAACCAATGTTGTAAACAGTTTCTTCTAAGCTAGCTTGGTAAACTTTTTTTTTTTAAGTTAATGTACCTGGCCCTCCCTGGCGGTGCAGCGTGTTAAAGCTTAGCACGATCCCTGCCCTGAGAGGTGATTCCTGAGAGCTCGATCCCTGGCCCTGGAGGTGATCCACATGGTGTGGCAGAACCTCTTGACCTGCCTGCTGCTCCTCTCAGGAGTGTACTTCGCCGATTAGCCTGTTCTAATCCCAACTCTGTCTCTGGTGATTCCTCTCACTGTCCCTGCACCGCTGCTCTATACCCCAGTTCTGTATGCATAAATAAATATTTTTTAAAAAGTTAATGTACCTTTATTCACCAAACTAATGGAGGGTAGATCAAAATGTTGGGATATCCCCTCCTACAATATTTTTAAGTGTAGACTTTTACATTCCCTAAATCCTTATGTCACACAAATTATTTCAGGTTCACTTTTTGTTTTCATTTTAATAGCACATTATGTATTATATATAGCTTTATAACTATTTTATAATGAAAAAATAGTAGTCCTCAACAACTACTTTCACTATTGTTTTCCTTGACATTTATTACTGAATTTCTAATTAAACATGGTCCTGCTATTCTTGACTTTCTAATTTTAGACATTGTCTATTAAATCAAGGGCTTGACTCTCTTAATCCAACATACTTTGCCCATCCCTTTAGTATTTAATACCACTAAAAACTATTACAGAGTTTTCCATAGCTGAGCCTCAAAGTTATTTCTCTTTTTCCTCTCAGTGGCCAGCTACGCAGCTGTGTTCTGTGAATTTCCCTTTACCATCATGCTGGAAATGTCTTACTCTCCATTCTTTGTTGCTTCTTTTTTTTACTTTCCCATATTATGGTGGACTACATCTTCTCAGTTTGCCTAAATAAGTGGTTTTTAGTATAGGTTTTTTAAAAAGATCTTGCAATGTGAACATGTTTATCTTCTCTTGTACTTGATCTGTCGTTTATAGAATTCTCTTTTAGAAATCATTTCCCCTTAGAATGTTGAAGGTTTAAAAAATTATGCAGTTATTTCATCAATTCCAAAAGGTATTTTTCATGTTTTCCATCTTTGAAAATCATACTTAGATTTTAAAAAGCTAATTGTCTTGTAAGTAGCAGTGTTTTTTCTTTGTAGTACTAAAATAATAGTGTGTTTTACAATTGATGACATCTCAGATTTGGTAATACGATATAAAAACATTTTTAGAGAAGAAATTTGTAACCCATAACCTTAATTGTGGACTGCAAAATCACCAGAATACAAGCGTTATTTTGGATTCTGTTTACAGTTCTTCCTCTTCTTTCCCTTTTCTCCTTCAGAGATTAAACATTGTTATGACATTGTGCTAATTTCTTGTTGATCTTTATAGCTTTAAATTTTTGGTTGGAAAAAAAATTGTTTTTGGAAAATTTTTTATATAAATGGCCAGGTATTGAATGTGTTAGGTTTTGTGGGCCAGATGATGTCACATTACTCTGTTTTTAAATGCTTTTAAAACTTAAAAACCATCCTTGGACCTTAAGTAACATAACTCAGGTCAGATTTGGCCAGCAGGCCGTGGTTTCCACTCTTGTTCTAGGCAGTGTATATTATTTGTTGAGTGTGCTTGTTTTTTTGAACAATGCAAAAGTATAATTGTACATACAGTATTTGTTCTGTTACTTTCTATATTCTCTTTCAAATTCACCACTGTTGATAACAGAACTACTTCATTTTGCTTTTTGTATATTCATTCTACTGTAATGTACGTGGTTATTATTTGCTGTTATAACCAACGCTTATATGAGTTATACTGGTTCATGAAGGCAAGAACAGTTAGGTATACACGTAAGATATGAATATGTATATGTATACATATTGGCACCCCTGACCCTACTCCTAGGGTAAGTACATAGTGAAATTGCTGATTGATAGGGCACATTTTTTAAAATTTTAATTGAATTTAAGTATATCATGTCTGTTGATCATTTGCGTTTCTTCGATGAAGAATCATGTAATTGGCACTATTTTTATTTTTTTCATATTGGGCTGTCTCTTTAATGGAAGGCATTTTTTTTTTTTTAATATATTCCAGGGTCTCCCTGGTGCACAGGGTTTAAGTCTAAGTGATATCAAGCTATAAGCTGCCACTGTGGCATGAATTTGATCCCCACCCAGAGAGTTGACCCACAGGGTGCAGCAGACCTCTCCTGTCTCAACGCTGTTCCCCTCAACAGTGTGTTTCAGTTAATCTGCCTGTTCTGCTCCCATTCTGTCTCTGATGAATCTTCTCTCACCCCCTTACACCTCTAGCCTACACACCAACTTTTGTATGCATAAGTAAGTAAAGTAGATCTTTAAAAAAAAAAAGGCTATAGTTAAATAGTGTTACATACTTTCATATTGCTGTGCAACCAATCTCCGAAACTCTTATCTTGAAAATTAAATTTTATGCCCACTAAAATAGCAACTTCCAATCTCCCTTTCCTCAACTCCTGATGTAACCATCATTCCCTTAACCACGAATACCACTATGGGTGCCTTATAGAAGTGGCATCATACAGTGTTTGTTTTTGTAACTTGTTTCACTTACCATAATGTCTTCAAGATTCATTTGTGTTGTAGCATGTATTGATTGATACTTTTATTCCTTTCATTGCATGATAATCCATTGTATGATATGCTACATTTTGTATATCTATTGACCAATTAAGGTTATTCTCACTTTTTGGTTATTGTGAATAATACTATTAACATTTGTATGTAAGTTTTTGCATAGACATATGTTTACTCTTTGATGTATACAGAAGAGTGGAATTGCTGGTTCATATGGTAATTGTTTAACTTTGAGGAATTGCCAGACAGTTCTTCAGAGTGGCTGCATCGTTTTACATTGCCATCTTCAATGTAGGAGAGTTCCGCATCTTCATACCATCACTAACTTATGTTACTGTGTCTTTTTTATTTTAGTCCAGTGACATGTTTTGTTTTACATTTCCCTAATGACGAGTGATAGTGAAAGTCTTTTCGTGTACCTAATGACCACTTACATATCTTTGGAGAAGTATCTGTGAAAATACAATTTTGAAATATCTTTACTTTAAGGACAATGAAGAGTTAAGAGTTACTTGCCCACTGCCTGCAGAGAGTGAACATTCAGACTGCATCTCTGCCCACCCACTCAAGATGAGTACTCGTTCTCCCTGCACAGCTGAGCTTCCTGCATTGAGGTAATATTGTGCTTCAGAGAGTGTTCCAATTAAGACTATTCTTGTCAACATTTGCTCTGTTGTTACTTACTAAGTCTAATACCAAGTTGTTTTTTTCTTAGTACAACTCAGCAAAAGGATCTAATAGAGGATTCCATTGTTCAGAAGGATGTTCTCAACCAGACAACTATACCACCTTCAAGCACTGCAAAGCCATCAAGGACAAATGCTGCTTCACCATGTAATAGTAACATAAGTGGAGCTGTAAATGTGGCCCTGCAGGTAACTTGAATTTAGCTTATATGAAGGGAAAAAATATAGGTCAAATAATCAGTAATTATTTTTGTCTTATTACTCTGCTAAGAAGTCATTTGGAAATTGCCCAAATTAGAGCTGCCTATATTAAGTAAATAGTAAATGAGTTTAAGGTCATTATGAAAAAAGTGGAAACTTTAGCCACATTTTGGGAGTAAAAAAATTAATGTCCATTCTATTCCTTTGATTGCTCACAGACTAAAGCCCATGAGGGACCACTCTTAATTTTTATTCAAGTGCAGAATCAATGTTATAATTAAGGAAATACAGAAAAGTGGGAAGCAGCAAAATTTTTATAGGTTAAGTATGTCTTGTCATTTAATAGTGATAGCAATAGTAATAGCAGCTGCCAATCATGGAATGATGCTGTGTGCTAAGACTGTGCTAAAGACCTTTACTTGATTTGCATCATCTCACAGACACTCTTTAGTTTTTTCAGATGGGGTGATTCTTTCATTTAATGTTCTATTAATATATTATTGGTTTCCAAACCCTTAGCTCTTTGTAGCTAGGGAAGAGTTGAATCATTTCATAATATGAATCTACCATTATTAATTGGATTTTCTTCCTTCTTAGTCATTTAGGTTTCCAGTTTTCCTCATCACTGAAAACAGTGCTGACATTGTTACATAAATCGCCAAAGTTTGTATTATTTTCAGCAACTGTTTTGATTAAATTTAGGTGATCCCATTAACTTTAGGTGTATAGTAACTTGTACAAGTTACAAGATGATCACACAATAAATTTAGTTAATAATAGCAATAAAAATTTCTTTTCTTATGGTGAGAACACTTAAGACCTACCTCTTACTATCAAATATGGAGAACCTCAGAAGCTGTAGTTCCCATGCTGTTTGTATGTGTATAGTCATACACAGTCACCACCCTGATTGATAGTATATTTGGAAGTTTTTTACCTTTTGACACCCTCCACACCTTTTT